AAGTATAGCTATGAGTTCTGATCTTGTTGAAGAATACCAATTCTCTACTCTGCCTTTTATTTCTCTTACTATTCTATCCTTCCTATCTACTTGTACTATGCTGTAACTAGCTAGGCAACCGTTTGTATTGGATTTTGCTAGTGAGCCATCTGTATAGTATATTAAAGTATGAAATTTCTGATTATCTTTTAAAGCTTTCAGTCTTTCATCTACTTCATCTTGGTTCGCAATCGATTTTTCTATGCTAATTTGATCCCAATCTTTTGGCTTAATGCTGTCTATTAGGATATGTTCAGTTGGGTTTTTTTGGTGGCTTGGATTTAAAGAGAAGGTAGCTCTTAGTGATTCTAGATCGGTTAGTAGGTTCCAGCCTTCTGTCTCTCTTCTAACCCAGTTGTTAATATCCTCAGAGCTCTTTTGGTCTATTCTTATTTTCTTGTTTTGTGTCTCTTCTTCTATTTGGACTTTAGTTTGCTGATGGCTGGATCTTTTTCTATTTTCCTTGTTGCTCTCTTTCCATTCTCTAATTTCAATTTTACTATTAGTAAGTTTTTTGTCTATTCTGCCAAAAATTAGCTCATTGCAATTCTCCTTTTTAGCAAGGACCCATTCATGTCTAGATTTTTTGTTGGTAATTTTAAGAGTTTTCGTTTTATTTGTAGTTGTGATTTCCTGGAATCTTGTCTTCTGTAACAAGTTTTAATTGTTCTTCGTTCTGGGTCCTTTATTAGTATATCTTCTAGCTTTTTAAACCAATTTGTCACTCTGCCTTTTGTAAAAATACCTCTAATTCGCCTTAGCTGCTGCCAGGTTAGTAGTGTTTGCTCCTTTTCAAGTATAATTTGGTCTATGTGCCATAACCCTAGCTTTTGTATACTTTTCAAATTGCTTAGATAACTATTATCCTGTAATATTTTTTTAATTTCTTGGTTTGTGTTCTGTAATGAGCAAATTCTCCATCCTTCTTTGGCGATATCGCTGGCGACTGATATTTGAAGCTTTTTTGCTATTGTGAGGATCTCTGCATTCAAATTGTTTGTCCAACTTATAGAGTTGATTGTGGTTTCATCTAGAAGCCATATGGGTTCTGTTGCTAGTAAGCTTAGTTAGGCTTCTTTTAATCTTAGTTTCGCTAGATCTTCTGCTATATTAGGGCTATTAATTCTTATGACCCATTCTGTTATTAAACTTTCTAGATATCTTTGCCAAAGTGATTTCAGGCCTAGGAAAACAGAGTGAAAAAATAGAGTATTAGAGGCCATGCACTCTGTTTCGGCTTTCCATTTAACCACTTGTAGTATGGGGCTCTGTATTTTGCTGCACTCCTTTTTGGACAGGAGGCAGGTGTTCAATTTGTAGTCTAGTCTTGGCAGGAGGATTTTGTTATTGATATATTTTGCTTGCTCGATCGAAATTTCTTTTTTTCTAATCAGGTTAGCAAGCTCTATAGACTCTCTTTTAAGCTTTGCTTTAAGGCTTCTTCTAATTCCTTTTGCTGCAAGCCATATTCCTAGATATCTTGTGAGTTCTTTTTTCTTCTTGGCAGGGATCTCTACATCCTCTTGGGATAGCGAGATGGTTTTTAGGTAGGTCTCTTTTTTACCGTTGAATATAACTAATTCTGTCTTTTTCGTGTTTAGCTCTATATAGTTTCTACGAAAGAAGCTTTTGGCAATATTTAATATATGTTTTAGCTCTTCTTGTAAGTTAGCCAGGAGTACTGTGTCATCAGCATAAGCAATTGCTGCTACACTTGTTGCCTCTTTTCTAGTTTTGTTTGTTGTGATGTCTATTGGCCAGTCTACTTCGATCGATGCTTCTAGCTTAGAATATTGTAATCTGTATAAGAGGGGGTGAAGTATATTCTCTAGAGTAGTGGTGATATTACTTCACCTTGGTTTATACCCTCTTTTGCTAAAAACCCAGTCATAAGTCCGAATTTAGTGATTATTTTAATTTCTCTGCCATCAAAGAGATCTAATATCAAATGAATTAGTTATTGTGGAAGTCAGATTCTTTCCATTGCTTCTTTTAGACTAGCCAGATTTACAGAGTCAAAGACTTTTTTTATATCTAGAAACAGTGTCCATAGTTCTTTGTTCTTTTCCTTTGTTTCTTCTATTAGACTGTTTATCATATGGATTGGTTCTTGTATACTTTCTCCCGGGAGACTAGCAAAGTTTAAACCTTTTAGAATTTGTTTTTCTACTAGTATCATACTAAGCCTTTTTTGTAAAATCTTAATAAAACATTTTCTTGCTACTTCTAGTGGCATTATAGATCTAGTGTTTTGTAATATAAAATCCCACTCTGCCATTTTAGGGATTGGAAAGATCATTCCTGCCTTCTATTTTTGGGGTATATACCTTCTTGTAGTATTAGGTTTAGCAGGTTTACTATATATTCTTGGGCCCCTTTTCTGAGTTTCTTAAGTAGTGTATACCCTATACCTGATAGACCCGAAGCTAAGGATGTTTTCATTGAATTGATTGTACTCTCCCAGTCTGCAATCGATACTTTGTTTAATACTAAGCTATACCACTCTTCTTATACCCATGCCTTGGGGTTGTATTCTGACTTCCATTCTCTTGTTATATTTATTGCAGAGATTGTTTCTTTGTTGTATTGTGTATTAAAGTGTTGTGCTACTGCTTGCTTTACCTCTTCTGGCTGGTGTATAAGTTGGGTATGTCTGGGGTCTGTCAGATCTCTAACTAGTACTCTGTCAATTGAGATCTTTTGCCAAGAGCATTCTAGTATACTACAGAGCATTAGTTTGTCTTGTTTCCCTATCATTCCGAATCTTCTTTTTATATATCCTCTGATTTCTTTTTCTTTTCCTTTCTTTGCTCTGAGATCATTTTATTTTCTAAGATCTTTATCCAGCTTTTAATTTCATTTAGCCAAGCTGTTTCCCACCTAATTTCTACTTTGGAGATAAGGGTTTCATTGAGATTATTGATTCTATCTATTAGATTGTTAATTTCTGGCTTCTCCGTTGGGTTTATATTACTCGTTAAATTCTGCATCACTCTTCTTTCTAGTTTACGAAGTTCTTTGATCCATTTATATCTGGGTTCCAAGTTACTAGTTTTTGCTTTTCTTCTAGTGTATTTTTAATTTTCTTGGAAAGAAGAGACTTGCTTGCTGCAGTGTGGATCCACCTAGCTAGTTTTTCCTATTGGCTATTTATTTTTGTTTCTGCTGTCTCAGAGGTCAAAGGTTTTTTCTTTTTTGTTTCTTTGTTTTTTTTCTCTTGAATATATTTTTCAATGAGGTTTTTGTATTTATTCCAGTCCTCTGCAGTTGCCTTGTCATATAGGTAAATTTTCCGTGTGCTAAGTATTGTTTTTTTTTGTATGCTTTGGGTTCTTGTGCCTAATAATGGCTTTGTAAATAGGTCCGCCCATACTAGGTGGTGATCACTTCCTGCATAAGTCTATTTCTTCAATATCACTATCATATACTGTACTTTTGAGATCTGGGTCTACCTATATGTAATCTATTCTTGAGCTGGATCTGCCATTTGACTAGGTGCATTTGTTACTATTAGGGTTTACTAGTCTAAATATGTCTACATACCCTGATCTTTTAAGCCATTTTACTAGAGGAGAGTGGGATGGCTTTAATAAGTTGCTTTTTCCTTTGGTTATTTGTGCATTACCTTCTATAGCAGTCTCTTTTGTATTTAGGTCACCTCCTATTATCATTTTGGTTTTTATATTTTTTTTAATAGCATCTAATGCGATTCTTTGCTGTATTTTTAGATATGCTTTCTTGTTATTGGGTGGGGCGTAGACTACTCAAAGTATAAGTGTAAAGCCTTTGAAGGCGAATTTGGCTCTAAGTAAGTAAGTGTCTGGAGTGGTTAGTTCTATTAGATGTCTGTTCCACTCCTTTTTGATTAAAAGTGCTACTCCTGATCCTTTTTGCTTTTCAATTTGCTTTTTTGTTGCGTGTATTTAATAATCTTTTAAGTTGACTCTGTTGAGTTGTAATTCTCTGTTGCTTATATTAGTTTCTAGTATACCTATAATATCTAGATTATTCCAGAGGCTTGTATCTATTAGCTCTTGAAGTTTAGAGATATTGTTTTTGATTTCATTTATATTGTGAAACCCTATTTTGAAAAAGTTTAGATTTATTTGGTTTAACTCCTCTTGAAGTTGATGAGTGTTGGCTATATCATCTTGTTCTGTACTGTTTTGTCAACTTTGGGTTTGACTGTTTTCTTTGGTTAACATCGTATTTTTCGTTTCGTTTGGTTTTATTATATCCTCTTTTTCAGAATAAGCCACTTTCTCTTTTGAGGATATTGTGTGATACTTATTCCTGTTCATTAGAATGCCCGAGGTGCCTTTTAGAAGCGATCAGCAAACCCAGTTTGCTTTTTCTCCAGAATATCAAGTCTTTCTAAGATTTTTTGGAGTAGTGCTATCTAATTGGAGTTTTTCTTGTTCGATGTCTTGTTTTTGTTTTGTATACTGATTCTTGTATCTTTATCTAAAGGTTTCTTGTATCTTTGTATATCAGTTCTTGGATTTCTTTTTTGCCTATCTTCATTCCTTTCAATCTTTTTGTTATTATTAGAGGGCCTGTTTGTTTTGTTAGTGGCATTTGTGTTTTCTAGTTTTTTGTCTGAGCTGTGCTTGCTGTAGGTTTTTAATTCGTAGATAGGTTGTTTTCCCTTGTCACTGTCTGTGGTAGGACCTTTGCATGTAATAGGGTTGTTTAAGTTTTCATTTGCACTAACATCTCTAAGCATGGTTTGCCATTCTAATTTAGTGTTAAAGTAGAACAGGTTGTGCTTTTGCGCTTATACAAGATCAGCTTCTGTTTTGAAATAGATGTGTGCCCTTCTACTTTGGTTTCCATTGCAATTGTTTAATATATACACTGCTTGGACCTTGTGTTTTTTCAGTTGTCGCAGTAATAAGCTATCTATTGCTGTTTTTGGAACATTAATAATAGTAGCTCTATATTTGTTTTTTTGCTCTAATTCACTATTGTTAAATTTTCTGGAGTTGTTCTGTATGTTTTGCCTTGGTCTAAATGAATTGACCAATTTTCTCTTAAGGTGCTTTTTCTTTTCTCTATGTTTGTTATAATTTTAATATATGCCA